CGATCGGGTTATTAGAAGTTGGACTCAACTCGATGGTACCAAGTTTAGGGTTTGGTTTGATCAAAGTAGCCTGACAGTCAGAACGTTGTGTAGGTTCTTGAGATTGCAGCAAGTCGACTCAAGAGAAAATTGTGCATTGGAGTTGTATGATCTCACACTTATTTAATCTGTATGCTGAGCAAATAATTCAAGACGCTGCACTGCATGAGGAAGAACTCGGCTTGAGGCTTGGAGAAAGGTGTGCCTGACCAAGCTATATTTTCAGTCACTTCACATGCATATGAAAATTGAGCACCGAATAAGCAAGAATTGACGCATTTGATTTGTGTTACTGGCAAAGAATACAGGAAGTACCACAGAGTACCAGAACAAAGAAATCTGTCTTGGAAGAAGTACAGCTAGAATGCTCCCTAGAAGCGAGGTTGGCTAGACTTCCTCTCATTAACTTTGGACATGCTCTCAGGAAGTCCAGTCCATGGAAGAGGGCATGATGTATGATAAAGTGGAAGGGCATCAAAACAGAAAAAGACCATGACTGAGGTGTACTGACACATTCCCTGAAAAATGGGCTCAAACATAAAAATTGTGAGGATGGTACAGGGCTTACCGGGGCAACATCATTCTGTTGCGCATGGGTAGCTGGATCAGAACTGACTTGATGGTACCTAACAAGGCTGAAGGGGTAGTGAAACCCCACCTCCACATGGGCGGACAGCAGATTAGAAGGGTGGGTGTTTATGTGGATGCCTCAAACTTACTGATCGCTGTAAGCATGTTATTTCTATGCACTTGCCACAAACAATCCCAAAATAAAAGAAAGCAATCCAAGACAACATCAAAAAGAAAACTTACAGACATTTAACAAGTGAAGTACAAAACTTACATTCTGAAAATTACAAAACATGGCTGAAAGAAATTTGATGTGAAAACATCCTATATTCGTGAAGACTTATCATGAAGGTGGCACTGCTCTTCAAACCAATCGAAACATACAATGTGATCTCCAACAGCATTCGTTAGCAATGGCCAAAATCATCTGAGAACAAAGTAGTAGTAGTCACACCCTCAAATATCAAAACTGGGAGAAAAAATGGGCTTTCTACTCACCTTAAGTTATAGTCTCAGAAATGCACAGAAGGTCGCTAATGAGTCAGCATTGACTTAATGGCAGTGAATTGGGGAAAAAAATTCAAAACTTACTTCTAAACAGTGATCAAGATAGCATGCTGTTAGAAATACATATAAACAAATGGGATAATATTGAGTACAGAAATAAACCATACACCTATTGCCAGTAATTTTGAAAATGGATACCAAGACCATCTTCTGGGTTAAAATAAGAGTTTTTAATAAGATATTGGATAACCATATAGAAGAAAGCAAAAGAACTTGGATCCTGTCTCATATCAAATACCAATTATAAACTCTTACGAGAGTAAATATTTATGATCTCGAATTTGGCAAAAGCTTCTTAGATAGGACACCAGAAACAGAAGGAACAAAAAAGACATCATAAAATGTTCCAAAAGACACCATCAAGGAAGTGAAGAGACAAACAACACAAAAGGAGACAATATTTGCAAGTTGTATGTGGGTAAGGCAAGCAGCCGAGTTTAGATCATATATACTTGGATTTAACCCAAACAAAACATGCTTAAACTTGTAAATGGCTGCAGACAAGCTCAGTCTTGTTAGGTTTGGCCAAAAAAGGACCAACCAACAGTTGCTTGTGGGGGATCTGCTGGGTGAATTCAAGGAATAGGTTAACACCTTGGGGTACGGCACGTGTTTTTGGGCTGCCAAAGGGGTAATCTTGATAGGACCAGCCCTGGTGATACTGTTGGGTTAGACATGATCCACAAAGGTGTTCAAACCTACGAGTCATTTCCAAGGAGAAAAAGGAGGCCCATTGCTGTGAGGATTTTCGGCCTTGGAAACGCTGCGTGGGGTTTCTGACTTGAGGGCAGTGGGCTTGGTTATTTTGGAATAGACAGACACAGGACAATCATGTAGGCTTTTTACTTTTAGGAAGTTTTAAGAAGTTGAAAACAGCACTGGCTGTTGAGAAAAAGGCAAGGAACATTATATGAAGAACTTTTCCCCATCACACTGCAGCTGCTCATTCTTCAGAAGTGGCTGACCTGAGAACTTCATTTGGAAATCTTACCTCAACCATCCCCACAGCCCTATCCTGCCCCTTCAAACTTGTTTCCAAACTCGGGAGGGCATTTCAAATGAACGTGAGTTGAGTCTAAGGATACTCAAACTGCGACTGTTTTGACATGATATACATCCCATCCCAGAGTGCAAAATTCTGCCTTCAGAAGTATGTGTAGAGCTTGATGAACAATGTCAAGAAACAGTAACTTCCATTTTATTTCAAAAAGATTTTTCTAGATTTCATAGCCAATACTTTTTGACTTGTCACTTATCTGATGAGACTTGTATCTAGAACAGCTAAAGAACTCTTACAACTGACTGATAAAGATACCTGGCCAGAGAGAATGCAAAAATGATTGTTGATCTTTTGAAAAGCCATCAGTAAATCAAAACCACAATGAGCTTCCACTTAGTAGCCATTGGAATGGCTTGAGCCTAAGCGGCGGTGGAGGTGGGAATTCTGGAGCCCTTGGACACTGCAGACGCGATCTTAAAATGGCGCAGCCATTTGAACAAAGTTGGCAGCTCCTCGTGTGACTAAATATGTAACCACCAGGACTCTGCAATGCTTAGATATTGGAAAGAAATGAAAACATGTTCACACAAAACTCTGCATGTCAATACCATTTACGATAGCCATAAGGCAAAAAACCCCAACATGTTCAACAAATGAATGGGCAAGCAAAATGGAATGTATTTATACAATGAACTATTGGCCCCAACAATGAAACAGATACAAACTCCCAAGATGGATTAACCTCAAAACCATTAAGGGACAAAGCTAGTGACAAAAGACCACAGGACTGTATTCATATAAAATGTCCAGCATACAGAAATCCACAGACAGCAGATGGTTCCTTAGGGTTAGAGGTCAAAGGACAACAAGATGGAGTAAAATGAGGAGAAAGAGGTAGGGGTTTATTTCCGTCATAAGGAAAATGTCTAAAACGGACTCTGGCAGCTTTACATATGTATCGGAACAAGAGTCCCACTGCCATTGAGTCAATTCCAACTCCAAGCAATTCTATACAGTGTTTGTGAGACTACTGATCTGTACACAGATGAACAGACAGCCTAGTTCCCTAGTTAAAACTTGGTGGTGGATTTGAACTGCTGACCTCTCATGGTAAGCAGTTCAACACTTACCCGACAGTGCCACAGCAAGCTATAGCCGCTGGTATTTCTAACTTTTTAGGCACTATGTTCAAGATCTCCATTTTACAGATAAGGAAACGGGTCATTCAGGTTTTAAAGTACTGTGTGTTTAACAGCTCCAAAGGCTTGAGAATGCCAGTTATAAAAAGGTCGCACACAAAATCTGTTATCTGATTCCCAAGAAAGTATGGAGACGAGTGTAAACATTTTTTAAGCAACTGAAATGCTGTGAACAGGGAATTCAGTTGAAGACTAAGCTGGTAGTAGTCATGCAGGTGCGATCCATTTCTCCTCAGACTCTCTCTCGAACTCATCCCTTTTCCTTCTTTGTTGCTTATGTTTTGCTCCTTATACGCTTAAGTCGGTCAATTTTACTGCTGTCCTTGAATAACATGCTATTTTTTAATAAAGGGGGCCTTTATGTAGTTATTTTAGTGCTCCCTCCTACTTTTTCCCTTATACTATTTACAACTGGTAGTTAGTTAACTCTCATTAGAGACCAGTACAAACAAGACCCCTGGAATAACCACCTTCAGGGTGCCCATGAATCAGCTTTACTTTTCAAACAAAACAGTTGACTCACTTGTTATAAATGACATTTGTTTTGACCAAATGTGCTTGAGAAATCATGCCAGTTCAGATGCCTTAAATAGGTACTACACACATAGATCTATACATATAAACTAAAGTTATCTATTTTTTATGGCTGCCCGGTTGAAGCATTTTTTTATAATATAGATGGTAAGGAAAAGAATTAACATTACCTGAAAAGGCAGGGCAATACTGATTATTGTTGCGCAAAGAGGCAAAGCAGCAAGTTGTAAAAGAGGAAGACCTAGTATAAGTTTATCATTACCACTGCATTTTATTCAGAATGATGTCGACGAAATCTTTGCATATTGCTGTGTAGCTAGCAAGCCTACATCCAAATCTTATCTTCTTTAACACGCACATCCAGGGAGCCTTCAAGCTTTCTCCCAGCAAAATTAACTCTGTCTTTCCTCTGTGCACCTACTGCTGTAATACATTTTGTTAAAAGTAATTTACTTACTTAAGATTGTAAGCAGATGGAGAATAATTTTTCTTTGTATTCTTGGAATCTAGTATACATTTGATCCATAAGTAGTTAATCAAAAGTTTGTGAAATGAGTCAATTGTTTATAACTATATTAAAATTTAATAATGCATAATCAAAAGAAATGCTATTGCTACAATGTAAAAATTGTGGTTGTCCCTAAAATATTTCATGTTTTTAAGATGTAACACTTTTTAACAAGTATTATTTCCTATAAAAAGCTACATAAATAAGGATACAGAAGTGCATTTAAAGTATAAAGTCATGAAAGAGAGATCTGTGTTCCTGATTTAGAGAAAAGGTTTAGGGGAAAAAATCTATTAAAAATAGACACTACACATTTAGATTCACCAAACTGCACTGGTTAAAAAAAAATTATTAACTTGACAGTACATTTTTTCTCAAATTTTTTTATTGTGCTACTTGCGCAAAGGAATGAAATTAAGTATTCACTGAATTATGTTCAAATTATGTATTTAACAAGTTCATTTAAATAAGTTATTCCAATAATGACAAGCAGCTTAAATACAAGGTTTGATAACTATTAAAAAAGTAATGAAATCAAAGTTAAAACTTCCGACAAGGCAATGTACTATTTTTTATCACTAACCTGACTGAAAGGCCGCACTCGCACCGCTACTTTCACACTGTCGACACTTGGCATAGGCATTCTCATCAGTATCTGTATTATGTGGTAAGAAATTAATGTCTAACGCAAACTGCTTATGCTTCAAGCTAAAACCTTAAAAACTTAACCAACAAAAGCAGTTTGTTTCTAGATAATCAATTATTAATGGGTCAATTCATTACACACTATCAATTGCCTGCTATAAATTATTTTATACCACTTACTTATTGATGAATTTTAGCCTACATCAAATATCACCACTTAATTGCACACAGTCATACAGCAAACAGGTGGTTCTATTTTTCCTTCCCTGTTATCACATTTATTCACATGCCTTCCCCTCCCCATCCTTAATAAATCTTGTGCCTGAGGTAAGGTAAGAATTTGCCAGTGTTAAAACCTGAATACTAAAAGTCCCTTTACTGCCAGAACCCTACTCTAAAACTTGTTCAATTTTTTAGGCACACACAAGATATGCTTGTGTATATATATACGCATGAAGCTGACTAACTTTACATTTCCTTTCCTTCTCCTTTCTGTTATGAAGTTGCTAGTGAGCAGTGAACCGGTCCACCTAACCTGGATAATTAGTCTTTGAACAATTCAGAGACTTAAAGATATATATAACCTTTGAAATTTGCTGAATAAGAAATGCCAACATTATAGTTAACCAATGCATTATTTGAGGTAGATTACACCAAACTTGTTAAACTACAAAAAGGCAGCAACATTTCATGCCCATAATTCAATTTCAACAAAGTAACAGTCAAAAGAAATATACTTTTTGATTAGAAACGTTAATTACAGAAGCAAAGTGCATAAATTATAAAACAGCAACTTTAAATTGTTCTTATTGTAAGGTGGGTTTAATACTTTATAACTGCAAAGAAAGAAAATGGGATCATTGCCTGCTAGTATACAAATCATTAAAACAGAAATCCCGCTCAAAAATCTACAGACACAAACTATTGTGAAGTATATACTTTATTTAACATCGAATATTAAGCCATATTTACATATTATATAAAGGTATGAAGTCTTGATAGAAAATAGAAAAACTGCCTGTGATTAAAAGTATCACTCCATATGGAGTTACTGTACTTCTTGACGATCTTGTTTAGAAAAATTCACAATAATTTATATAAATTATTTACTTTCAAATTAAATGATTTTTAGTAACCCACACAATTTCGATGACTTTACAAATAGGTGTATATCAAAAAGTCGAAAAGAATTACAACATTTTTCTGCGTAAAACTTGCTTTGGAAAGGATGATGATGGCTTTTTTCTGTTCCTCCCAATAACTTTTGCAGTCACATCTGTGGTCTTTCTTGGTTTGCTCTTGACTCCATCACCTGGGCTCGCCAAGGGAGAAATCAGCTTAATTTCTACTGGAGGAGGTGACCAAGAACTTTCTTTTTCTGTTTTTCTGTCAAAGAGATATAATCCAAGTAAATACAGAGGCATCCAATTGTGAAATGTTACTGAATCCTCAACATACTGAAAGAAATCTTAGGAATATATGACCTTATCTAGTGCTTGCATTTTATAAAAGCGTTAATAGCTACAGGAAGCTTAGTGAAGTCAACTTGAGATAGAGTTAAGATTGGAAGGAAGGTTTCATTTGAGAGTTTAAAAAAAACCTGGATATTTAAAATCAACAAGTGCTGATTTTTCCTTTAAATATTTCATAAAAATTAATAAAACTAGCCCAAGCTACTCCCTGGGAGGTGTAGTCAAGAGCTTGACTAGCACCCAGGTTGCTGGTTCAAATCCACCCAGAGGAAGACAAGTCTATGAATCTGCTTCAAAAACCCTATGTGGCAGTTAAAAGTTCACAGAAAAATGAAATTCTTATGAACCTTTGTATATAAAATGAATTATATTAAGGGATACCCAAAAAACCCAGAATTAAAAAAAACCCAACTATATAACTTTTTTTTTTTTTTTTAAACCACCTTTATCACTTTCAAAGTACTTTCCATTACACTTAATACATTTGTCAAATCTGTGATTCCATTCTTGGAAACATATTTCAAACTCATCTGTTTGGATGGCCAACAGCACCTCCCTCGTTTTTATCTTCACCTCTTCTGTGTGGTCAAATCGCTGTCCTTTCATTCATGGAAACAAAAAGCATTTGCATGGAGCGAGGTCAGGTGAGTAAGGTGCATGGGGCAAGAAAGGCATGCTGTTTTGGGCCGAATACTGGCACAGTGAGATGGCTGTGTGAGCAGGTGCATTGTCATGATGGCAAAACCAGAGTCCGCTTGTCTACCACACATCAGGCCCTCTTGTTGCACAATGTTACACAATCTTTTCAGAACCTCTAAATAGAAAGCTTGATTAACAGTCTGAACTGGTGGAACAAACTCCAAATGCACTATCCCCCTCACATCAAAAAAACAACAACTGAGCATCATCTTGATCTTTGGTTTCATTTGACAAGGTTTTTGGAGCAAGGAGACGATGGCGTCTCCCATTGGCTTAATGATATTTGCTTTTGGGGTTGTAAGAAGAGTATCATGTCTTGTCATCAGTAATAACCGTGGAAAAAAAGTCTGGGTAGTTTCTTTTTTGATGTTCAGTCTGAACCTGAGGCACAAATTTCACAGTGACCCAAATCTTCTGTTAAAATTTGCTGGAACAAGCTCCAAGATAGTCCAGAAAACTCCCCCATCTCTTCAATGGTCCCTCGCCAGTCTTCAAGCACAAGCGCACAAATTTGGTCAGTATTTTCTTCGGTTGAGAACGGACATCCAGAACGAGGTTTGTCATCAATTGACATTTCACTTTTGAAACAAGCAAACCACTCGTACATTTGAGTTTTTCCCATAGCGCTGGTCCTTGTAAGCTGTGACCAACATCACAATGGTTTCTGTGGCATTTTTTTCCTGAGCAGGAAACAAAATTTCACACCTGCACACTGTTCTCTTAAATTAGTCATCACAAAAAACAGAGTTTGAGTGAAACTGCCTTTCCAAAAAAAATTCATTGTGACCAGAGAGAACCTGTTCAGATGACACTACTGGGTGCACTAACTTGCGTTGCTGGATGGTTGCCTAGCTGAAAAAACGCACACTACGAAAGCTTTGTCCAGCAGAGCTTTTTTTCTATTTTGAGGGGGAATCCCCTTGTATATAAATAATTCAGTTTGTAAGTTTATCATTTTACTAATAGTTACCCACCTGTACTCATTAAATAGTTAATGAATCAACCCATTTCCCTTCTCCATCTATTGCGAAAGAGTATACTAACCTTTCACTACCTTTCTAAAAAAGAATGGGTGTCTCATGCTACATTAAAAATTCACTGTCATCGCTAAAATGTAGTCATGTTAGCTTTAATGTAAAATGTCCCTAAGAATGACACTCTCCTGGGGCGGTTAACTGTCTAGGTAAAAGTCACACAGCACAGAAAAGGTCGTACACGCTTGCTTGTTTTGTTTTTGCAGCCCTGGTCCTTTTCACGTCTTGCTTTCCCACGGCTTCAGTTGACTTAGGATCATCTTCCTGAGTTAAAAATTCAAAAAAGACAACTCTTTAATAATTAAACATTCAAAATATAAATTGACATTTAATCTAGAGTTATAGACATACTGGCAAACAGTGGTAATGAATTCAAATCCAAAATTGATAACTTGAATAGAAGTGCCACAAATAAAATGATTTAATTTTAAAAAAATGTAAAAAAAATAAACAAATAGAAGTTTTGTTCACCTAGATCTATATATACTCATTTGAGCCCCAAGTCTTGTCAACTTTATTTTAGAAGGTTTCCCTTGGCCGCCCTTTTCCCACTACTGCTGTCCAAATTAAGGGTCTCATCATCCCATATGAATTAGACGACCAGGGACTATCCTTTTCTCCTCAGAACTGATACAAACTATGTGAAATATAAACCTGGCTATTTCTGTCAGGGATGTAACACGCCTTGCAGCTTCAAGCCTCTGTGCCTTTCTGCTATTTTTGGTGCAGGCTTGGTTCTCTACCTTAGTCACCAGGGATGTTTGGGTAGGCAGGGATACCTCGTTTTCTTATACTTGCCTATCTTGAGCCTCTCAGATATTGTTTCTTACAAACTGAAGAGGTGTAGCAACTCAGTCTTGAGCAAGTGTATAGGTGCCATTTTTTCCAGCAGCATCTGCACATGTCCTGTCACATTTTTTTTTTCTATACTGTATGCTTACTAGACCACAGTATAGCATAAGCATTACTTTTACATATACTAGGAAACAAAAAAATTCACGTGACTCCCATTATTGAGAAATTTGTTTTATTACGGTGGTCTGGAACTGAACCTGCAACATCTCCGAGATAGACCTACAAATGATTCTCATCACATGGTGAAAATAATTATTTGTTTTTGCCTCTTCAATTAAACTGGGTATTCCTGAAAGATAAGGAACTTGTATGAGTTATTTTTATGTAACCCTTTGTTTTTCCACAGTATCTGGCCCATGGCAAATAATCCAATAAATGTGTATGAATTAATACTGGTAAATTTAAAGGGCTTCTACACTCAATCCTTTAAGAATTTCTATTTTAGGTTTAGGTGTGGTTTAGGCAACAGAATCAACTCAAACCCTCTCTCCAAGTGTGATGTATGGGTGTCATTCCAGTGGTTCAGGAAGTTACATTTTAAGTAAGTATGAAGGCTTAAAGCAGTGGAGAATCCCATTACCTTTCATTTCATTTTACCATTAACATTGTGAAGAGCGCTTGTGCACTCAGATGGTTCTGTAGACGTTAAAACTTTAAGATCTTCCTCCAACAAGTACACTCTCTTCTTACTTATTGATAAGATTAAGCTCCAAAGACCAGGTCCCCATGTGAATGACTACATCATTTTGTAATGCCAAGCTGACACATAACATCAACCAACAGAAGTGCACTCTCACATTGTACCTGGCCTATGGCCAGGCATATACTGTTAACATGCAAAATGGTCTCACAGTGATAGGTTTACTGCTGTTGTAAATGCAAATGCTAGATAATGATACATCAATAAGTGAAGATAAGAGTGTAATTTAAACTACAGCTGCCAGTAATACAAATGTAACCTGATACAAATCTACCTTAATGGATAGGGTCTCTGAAGGTATAGTCCAGGGGTCCTCAAACTGCGGCCCATTGAGGACATTTATCCAGCCCGCCGGGTGTTTTTGCCATCACTGCCTGTCCTGCTTAGCAGCCGACTCGTCCAGTGTGCATAGGAATTAGTTCATAGTTTTTTTTAAAACTATAGTCCGGCCCTCCAACGGTCTGAGGGACAGTGAACTGGCCCCCTGTTTAAAAAGTTTGAGGACCCCTGGTATAGTCAAAGCAATTTGGGGATTTTAGTATAAATGTCTGCTATCTTCAAAGAAATTCATTTAGAAGACATTACTTAGAACACAGCAAACACCTGTTTAAAACAAGCATACAGATAAAATCAGGCATTTCTTACCAGTACATCAGCAAGCTTGGATGGATTGGATGTATTTTTTCGCCTGGCTCTCAAAGTCGGAGGTGAGAAGACCAATGGTGATGATAAATCTGAAACTAATTCTTTCAGCTGTGCAGAAGGGGCTCTCTTTTTTGCTAAAGAAAGATTTAAGAAACAAACCAGCATTTATAGCTATTCACATACGTATTTCAACAAAACCTTGGAACAAATGACGTACATTAGAAAAATGCAAACATCCCCAAACCTAACAAACTTTCTACCCTAACCCATGCCTGAAGAGGAAACAGGAAAAATCACATCCATTGAATAAATGAAGTGTTTAGAATATTTAATACTTCCAACCAAGTAATACTACACACAAAGAAAACATGAAACAAGTACAAAGCTGTATTATCCCACTAGTATGAATCATCACTGTTCCTCAAACATTTGGGGAAGGAAAATATCAATCTGGTATACAACCTGAGCTAGCTTGCTTCACAGTTCATATTATTTCAGAGACAAGGTTTACCACGGGGGACTTAATCAAAGATTTCCTTTTACTTTCCCTAGAAACTCTCCTATATTAATGGCAATACTAAACTCACTACCAACAAGTTGATTTTGACTCATTTTGACCCTACAGGACAGGGTAGAACAGCCCTAGTGGGTTTCTGAGACGGTACCTCTTTAGGAACAGAAAGTCTTATCTTTCTTCTACAGAGCAGTTGGTAGGTTCCGAACTGCTGACCTTGTTGTGGTCAGCATAACCTGCTATGCCTCCAGGGGTCCTTCTTAATAACCAATGTCAATTATGGATCCAATTCAATGCAGTTGAATCAAGTCTGCCAGGATCTCTTATACGGATTCCAATGGACTGTATTGCACCCATAACTGACACTGGCAATTGCTGGATTGAAACTCTTGATTCATTCAGAAGGAGAAAGACGAGGCTGTCTGCTTTTGTAAAGATTGAGTCTCAGAAACCCTATATAATGGCACTGAAACTTGGAATCAACTTGCTAACAGTGGAGTTTGGATAGGCAGAAATTAAATCACAGGTCCTGGATTTATTAGCTGTGAATCTAAAGTCAAGTGGACAACCTCTGCCTCAGTTTCTTTATAAAAGGAATTAGTAATAGCACCCACCACCACCACCACCACCACCAAAAAGCCAGTGTGAGAATGAAGGGATTAGAGCAGCATGTGGCATATGGGGAGTGCTATTATTTCTAAGGCGCTAGCCCAAGGCTAGCCGTTGAAGTCATCAGCAGCTCTGCTACTCTTTAAATATTTAAAAGTTCTCTATATGGCTGGATTACAAACTTTCAATTCCTAGTTTTTTTATGGCAAGCACGCATTATTTTCATTAACCAAGTTAAAATTAATAAGTGTATAGATAATTACATGAACATAAAAATGACATCAGAATTACTGACATAAATTTGCTACACTGCACCAAAATAACCCATGATTTCTAGGTTTAGTTCACTTCCGACTCCAATGCAAAGAATAAAAACGGTAAGGTCATAGTCCTTTTTTGAAAAATTTGAAATTCTCAGTTGTATTTTTTTCCATTTTAACCAATATAGCAAAATAAAGGAATAAAATGAGTTATTTAAAATGACTGGCAACTCGACAAATCAAGCCAAGAAAACTAAAGCCAAAACCCCAAATTCACTGCCATCAATTCAATGCTGACTAATAGTGATCCTACAGGACAAGGTAGAACTGCCCACATTGAGTCCCGAGGAAAAGAGGTTTTATTTATATATTATATATATATATAGTGATATATATATATATAATATATATATATAGTGATTTAAAATAACTTAAATAGTAATCTCTAATTTCCATTCATCTTCAGCATTTTTCATGTATCTTGTATAAAGGTGAAAGTCTAACTTTCCTTATCTAGTGAAATGAGATTAGTATTGAGCATTTCTGAACTAAAATTATAGCTATGTATTCCTTTGAAAATTCATTCATCTTTAATTGTATGCATACCGTCCCCCTTTAAAATACACACTCCCCAGCTCTTCCTCTCCCATACTCCCTAACAAAACAAAATCATGCTTTGTAATTCAGTAAATGCACTGGATTGCTTAGTCTCATACATTTCATGTTGTCATTTAAACATTATTTCTTCTTCATGTAAAGTATAGAACTAACTACTCTTTCCCAACATCATAACGAAAACAATGACAGTCCTACCAAAATCAAAGGTTCTTGGGTGGCTCAAACAGTCAACCGTTACACTACAAGCCAAAAGGTTGGTGGTTCAAACCCATGCAGAGATGCCTCCCAAGCAAGCCTGGAGAGTTGCTTAAAAACGCCTTGGAGTTTAAGTTCTACTCTGCACTCTGGATGCTATGGGTCAGAATCAATTCAACAGCAACTAACCACCACAATCAAATGCCTGATCAAATCGGGGAAGAGAAGTCCCCCACAAGTATGAGTCATCTTTAGGAAAAATAATCTATTTTACGGAGAGGAGCAGGTATATGGTAGTTTTATTAACCAAGAAGCTCAGGTATTATAACAAATGACTGTATACACATTTAAATATTTCTACACAATGAATATTGAAGACAGGAAATTTTAGTTTACTGATTTTTAAATGGTTTATCTTTCGCTTGGTCTTTTTCAAGTCAGGATTTTCTTTCACTAATGCATTAAAAGGAGTACTGGTGGTAAAATGGTTTAACACTTTACAGCTAGTTGAAAGGCTGCAGGTTTCAACCCACCAATCAATCAGTCATTGTGAAGGAGCCATTTGGTGATAGGCTCCTATAAAGATTGCAGCACAGGAAGCTCTATGAGGCATTTCCTCTATGTTCTATATAGTGCTGCTATGAATTGGAATCAACTGTGCACAATTTAACAAATAACTGTACCTAACCAGCAGTTGACCCACTTTAAAACTACCCTACCGGGAGATAATTCACCTACACCAAGGCCCCTGAACCTTATTTTCCCCATGCGACATCCTCCCCTCCATTGAAAAAAATTTCCCGTGAATTCTAAATACCATTCATTGACAGTGTGTGTATCTGTTTACATACTGTGGGCACATCTTTGTTTTATAAATAAAATGAGTTAAGATATTTTTGCCCCCCTTGGGAATAATAGCAACCCTGTTGGGAAGGCAGGAGCTACACCAACCAAACATTATTAGCTCATCAGTGGCAATGAGGCAGGTTGCCTGTGTATGGGGCAATAGTTAATATGGATGTAGATAGTTTCCAGTCTCTGTTTATTAGTAATGCTGTCTTTTTTCCTTCAAAACCAGCTAGGCTCAGGGCTATCACCCAAGACATGAATTGAATTCAATTGCAGTGGTACATAAGATTGAAAATGTTGATTCTGCACAGGGAGGAAAAAAAATTAAAAGTCATGGAAGCAAACTGTTTTCTCTGTGTAAAGCCACTGATGGGTTTGAACTGCCAAGCTTCTGGTTACCAGCTGTGTTCTTTAAACACAGTGCACCCATGGCTGCATGTGACAGAGTACCATGAAGACAACCGATACCACTCACATTTAAAAATTAAAAAGTGATACTGGAACAGAACACTGGGTGCCAAAACAACTCTGAAATATGACTCTTTAAATTTCACAATTAAAAATAAAAACATTTTTTGCAGAGGAATTCCTCCATAAAACTATATATAATTTTCAGACAAATGATCAGTGTCCAAGAGGCAAAGCAGTGTTTTGAAATAATACAATTTTAAGGTGAAGGCTGTGTATATGAGATGTAAACTATGCTCCGAAAGAGACAAATGCATTACCTTTCTCTGTCCTTGGAACTTTTGACACTGGAGTAGAAAATAAAAAAGGCTCGCTTTTTGGTTGAGAAAAGTCTGGCAACAAAATGGTCTTCCTAGATCTAGTCCTTGTGCTCTGGGAAGAGTTAGTCAAAGCTGCTGTAGGAAGCGAAGCTGCTTGGTTATTTGGTTCTTTGCATGCTATTTCTTTATCTAAATGCTCTTCCAATATTGAGCTTAACAGAGGTTTTGGGGTCTGATTTTCAGTTCTTTTTGCAGTCTTCTTAGAGCTCGTCGCAGTAGAAAGTTCTTCATTTGGCAATAAAACGGATTCTTCTAAAGCTGGTTTCCCAACATCTAGCTGGTTTTCCCTTTTTGCTGGAGTGTTCCTTGTAGATCTCCTGGGGATGCCAAGACCTTTTCCCACTTGGGGACTTCTCACTCTCCCGACAGCCTTCGATCCTAAATCTTTAGATGGATCTGTTTTCCTCGGTCTACCACGTTTCCTAGGTGTGTCAGGCACATCAATTTCATGAAGAGTCAATTGTGATGAATTGAGTTTAGAGTGGTCCATCCTGTCTGATGTACCAACTTGTTTCTCTCTCACTCTTCGATTGTGTTGACTGGGCAGTTGGTGGTCACTGGACTTCACATCTTGTTCATAATCTGTATCTTCAGAAGCTTTCAAATGAGCGCTTCTCAATTTTCTGATGCTTCTGCCAGGACTCATCCCTTCATTAACTTTTGAATAATCTATCATTTCAACACTTTCTTGATTTTCAATAGGCTTTTTAATTCTCTTAGGAGTCCTTTTTGCAACAGGTGTAACCTTAACTTCTTTATTAAAAGAAGCATTTTGACTTGCTGTTTCCAAGAGCTGAGAGGACTTTAGCTTCCTTAGTCCCCTACCTGTATTGATCTGTAATTCTTGTTCCATGGGTTTATGAATTTCTGGGTCTTGATCAATGTTTTTTTTCCTCCTTCCTCTCCTAGGAGTAATAGAACTTTGAGGAAGTTGCTGGTTCTGAGCTATTCCTTTGACATTAGAGTAGACAGTTTCAGAAGCATCAGAAATTCCTTTTGTCCTCCTAGTTTTCTTTGTAATGGAGAGCTCCAGTGTCTCAGGAGTAGCGATATTTGCTGATACTTCTTTCTGCTCTGATTTGATATTCAGGCTTTGGACACGCTGTCCTCTTGTGCGAGTTCTGGAGGAAACTGTATCATCTAACTGGCTGACATTCATGGTCATTGTACTAGTTTCCTCAGTCTTAAATTTAGACGTCATTAATGTGGTGGAACTCATTACCGTTTGGCTTATTATAGGTATTTTTTCTTGAATGGATTGTTCCATGGAGTCCGAAGTAACTTCTTTACTTCTGGTGTCTTTAATTATATCTAGTAAGTTTTCTGCAACCTTAAATGGTTCAGGCACATATGGCAATGTCTTTGCCTTCTGGGACTCTTGATCACCAGTTATGAGAGAGGGAAAGTTTGCAACATGCCCACAATGATCAATCCCCCCACTGTTTATATGCTTTTCCTCAGCTGCTGCGCTAGCTGCTGCAGAATCGCCTGTCTCAATGTCTTCTTCACCTTCCAGTACCAAGGTAAAGTTGTTTTGAGACACAAAAAGTTCTCCATCTACTTCAGCAACATCACACTCAGCAGAGTCTTTATTTTCAGGCGAGTCACAAAACTGTTGCTCAATGGTACCAAAATTGTATTGCAGTGTAAGTGTTTCTGAGGGATATATCGCATTGTATGGAAGATTCCTAGCCTCTTCTCTTGAAGCTTGAGCTTCAACTTTTTCGTATTCAATCACCTAAAAAGAATTAAAGATTAAAAAAACTGGTTAAAAAAATTTAATGTACATTTTATTTTAACCTACAGCACAAATGTTTCTCAGTCAAAAGAACTAAATAAAAGTTTGAGATTATGGCTGGAATTATAGTAGAAATTCCACATTTTCTTTGCTAAAAAGTCTTAACATCATCTTGAAAATTATAATGCTAACAGTTGTGGAAAGAATCAAGGACTTAACTCTAGTCTCACTCAATAAAAAATTAATGGGAGAAAAATAAACAACAACCCCCAAACTGTGTTAATGATAATCCCCAAATTTCCTAACTATCCATAATTTTCTAAACAGCATGATCCCCATAAGGTTGAAGAAGAATTCACCTACATAAGCTCCCTTGGGCTAGACTCAATCCTCTTCCCTTTGCTGGGGCTGCATAAACCATGAAAATCCTAAGGCTTTCAAGTTCAGTACCTCTCCTGCAAGGGTTTGGTAGAAGAAGGAATGGTCCTTGCATTTACCTTTTGGTAAGGGAAGGGGAGAAAAAGGAGGAGGTAGAAAGTAACAGATAGATCTCCTAACCAAGAAGGTAGAACATCACCACCCAACTACACAATGACGTTTTCCCACTCCCCCGAACATTAGGTGAGATGACAGATGGGAAATACCTAAAATAAGGATTCTCACTCATAAACCAAGTATCCACAATTTTTATTAGCTTCTCAGTTGAAGGAGTAGGGATGCTATTCTCTTATTTTAGAGTCAGAACATTCATACAATATGGTCAACTAGGACAATTTTATGAGTTAAAAAACCCCCAAATTCTCTGTACCAGATTTGATCAGTTAGTTGCTCTTTATCTTAAATCCATTTATTGTATAAAAGTTGCCTCTTAATAATAGAGATTTGGTGGAATTTTATAATCCATAATTTACATTAATTACCTCCCCCCTCTAAAGACTTTCTGGAATGTGTGAGGTTGAACTGAAATTCAAGCTCAGTGAGTAGAATATCCACAGTAGGTACAGAGGAAAAGAATTCTGTTCAACTTTATCTGAGTATTTTCAAATATATGCTGTGCATTTTTTAAATGTCTCATTTGTCTCTGGAATAGTCATTATTTATCTGTTTTCTTATAATTAAAAAAGATTTTTATTCAAACCAGATATGAAACAATAAGAACATTGCAACATTATTCCTTCTTTGTCTTTTGTTTTTTATGAGACCTATTTTTCATTCAAAGGATGTGTTCTTACAATATCCCATACAATATTTAAACATTTTTTAAAACAGATTTTTTCCAAAGAGGGGTTTTTGTTTGATTCTATAATAGTTGAGTCAACCAACTACACCAAAACTAGATAACCGACAAAGAGAGAAAAAAAATTTTAAAAATTTTACATGAATTTCTTGAGTATCAGGAGGACCGTCAGAAACTGGAGGTTTTTCTCGGGATAAGTCAACTTCTAGTTCATGATTTTCTTTTAGGTTCAGTGTTATTTCATGATCAAGCCTATGTTCAGAGATAACAGGACTTTCAGAAATAATAGGCCCAGAGTGTCCACTATCAGCAAGGGAATCCACCACAGCTGAAAGAAAAATCAAGAGTCAATCTTGCACATTTTAGATTAAAATCAGATTACACAAAATTAAAGGAACCTTGGTGGTTCTCCTGGGAGAGTGTTAAACTGCAAACTATAAGCCTGTGGTTCTAACCCACCAGCCGCTTGATGGGCAAAAGATGACATTATCAGCTCACGTAAAATTTATTTAGGGTCACTATGAGACAGGATCAACGCAATGGCAGTGGGTCTTGTTTGGGGATTATACACAATTAAGGAAGCAAGTAGAAAAGACTATTTTGCACATAAAGATATGATTTTGATAAAATGCTATCTGCCAAAACTTTCATCCCATTTTCTCCAGTAATCTATCACTCAGTTTAAGCAATATAGAGCCTTTCTACAAAAAATAAAACACAGAAGATAAATTTCATTTAAAATCAATGACACTGGTTTTTCTCAAATGGAATATACTTCCTGCCCTTATTGTGAAACTTCAGTATAATAGCTGCGAAAGCTCAAAATGTTTGTTCCTAAGTAAAACTGAGCTATATTCACTAGGTGACTACTAGGCAATCTGCTATCCTCACTGAGTCATTTTAGAATTACAATGGGCTTGGATCGGCCTATGGAAAGTACTGGATGATTCTCTTCGGGCCGAAAGCATTCAAGTAGCCACAGATGTACTTTACCACTACAAAAAAGAAAAAGAAACCAACTTCTAACTATCAATGTATGAAAGTAGTATACAACCTTCATCAGAGAAAACAATAAAAACATTAAGGATTTATACATGTCCAGGAATCTACTCAACAGAAATACTGATACAATGTGCAAAAATATGCACACAGTAATATTCATTGCAAAACTGAAATATCAGAGCAAACAAACAAATGCTCACTAGCCCAATTATCTAATAAGCAACGTACCAGAGTACAGTAGTAGTCCACATATTACATAGACTACAGCCATCAGAATTAACAGACTCGATTTATCATTAAGGATATGGAAAGATTTTGTCTTAAAAACACACTGCCACTAAGTGAAAAATGAAAGTGGGCTTTTGACAACGATAAACGGTGATTGGCAGTAACTAACGTTTACTGAGCTTTAAATTCAGTGCTAGGACAGTTCTGAACACTGTCGGTGTAACTTGTTCAATCTTATAAGCTACAAAGGAGATGGGTACTATCAATATTTCCATTTTCCAAAACAGCACAATGTTTACAAAACTAATCAAAGTCTAGTCATTTAGTACAGAACTGGGTTATGACCTAAGCATTCTAGCTCACGTCCTTGTGCACTTTAGCTGCTATATGCTTCTTCTCTGTAACACTCATAGAGAAGTTCTGGTAGTGTAATGTGTTACCTGTTGGGCTATTTATTAACGACAAGGTCAGCAGATTGGAAACACCAGCTGCTCTGCAGGACCAAGAGGAGGCTTTCTACTCCTGTAAAGAGTTAGTCTTGGAAACCCACAAGAGCAGTTCTAGTCTGTCTTATAGGATTGCTATGAGTCGCAACTGATTTGTGGGCAATGAGTTTGGTTTTTTAGTTTTCTTTAATATTAATATAGGGAAAAAATAGACACTTTAAAGAATCCTAATAGGCAACCAGGAGACTTTCACTTTACATTTTAGGCTAATTTCATTTTACGGTAAATATATGTAACATTCTTAATTAGGGGATTAAAAAATGAACATGTACCAAACCAGAAAGCAGGCTTAAGCACTACACATATGACAGGCAGAAAGATACGAGTGGGCTCCAAGAAGTTCGCAGAAAAATGGAATGAACATTTCTGCTGGTACAAAAACGAGAAGGAGCAACCTCCCATTGGGGGGAAAAAATCCTTCTATAGAATCTAAGGGGATAATATGCCTAGTACTATGTTCCTACTTGAACGCTTTTGACCTAGTTTCTATCCAGCCCTTGGTGGCCAGGCTACTTGTGTAGTCACACCAGTAGGACTCAATGTAGAAACCTTACTAAGAGAACTGGGCTTCATCTTGAACTCACCCTGTAGCCCAAGGCTGAAACTCCCGAATGTGAGAAGCAGCAGATGACTGTTATTCTAAGTTACTGGACTTTGGTTCATATCTTTTGCTTTGAGGGTACACAATGAATGGTGGCCTGGGACTACCATATACTTACTATTTTCATGCCCTCTTTGCTTTATTATGACACGCATTATCTCACAGGTGTGGCTCTGCTGTTGTAAACGATGAATACTATAGAAAGTTTTGTCCTATCACCAACCCCTACTGTTTGTGTGTAAAGTATCAAGTCACTTGAGAGTTTAATCTATGTCAACATTTTATGTACTGTTATTTTTTTAAAAAAAGAGAAGGAAAACAGAATGAAAAGAATGACATTTTCCCACAAACCTTTTGAAGTCTTGAATAGGGCATATTCTAATGTGGAACAACCAACCAAAAGGAGCTAAATCAATTGCCTGTCTGTTACTCCAGGGTGAGATAGCAAATTCTAGGCTAGATTCCTCATGACAATATTGGGAAGATTAAATGAGTTCACAAATGTGAAATCCGTAAGCGAGTTTTTGGCATACAATACACATTCAAAATATTTCCTTTACCAATTATGACTGCCCTAAGGAAATGTACCTCCTCATTTACATATAACCATGGGGTAGCAAGGTGCCCTGGTGGCAGTTTGAACCCCTCAATAGATCTAGGGGGAAAAGCCCTGGTGATCCATACAAATTTCAGCCAATAAAACCCTATGGGCAAGTTCTACTCAACTCACATGAGATCACCATGAATTAAAATTTAAAACTGACTTGACAGCACTCAACAAAAGGTAACAGTTATTGTTCTAACAGAACAACACATACACTGAGTAAAAAATTAATTGAGTTATATTTGTTAATTTTCCTGGAGTAAATCAGTCTTTTCTGAATTGTTTCAAATGCTTAACAAGAATTCTTGAGAAGTTGCCTAAGGTAGATATATGCAAGCCCCAGAATATCCAACAGAATTATTCAGTCTAGCTACAGACAAGCAATTTACTTAGCTTCTTTAGGAAGTTTCACAGTAAAATATGTCCTTGAAAACCAGTCTAAAACTTCCACCAAGCAATGCACCTATTTTGATAATGGGTATACCTTATTACACTACTACTATTATGCCAGGGAATTTGGCCAGTTTGAGAAAAGATATCTGAATAACTGACTCATTTATTCCTAGAAAATTCTTTACTTAAAACACTACTGGGGCTAAAAAAAAACAAAAACTTACATTTACTGTTATCTGTTCTACTTGTAGAGGTGCAGTTTTCAACAGGTAGCAGCCCTGCATCCAAAGCTGATACCTTGGATTCTGGGAAGAGGATTTTCCTTTAGAAACAGAAATATACACTTTAGTATAACAAAGATCTGATTTTGTTCTAACCTTCTCTAACTATATTCCCCCAAATTTGTTATATAGTTTGCTTTTGAAAAGAGAGGTTCAGAGAAATTGTTATCATTTAATTTTACATAGCATTACAAAATTTACAAGTGAATTTAGAAATAAATAATGTACTTGCTTTTCCCTGTGTCCTAATACATTACCTTTTGGCAACAGTGGCAAAAATTTAAACTTAAAAAGGATTTAAAAACTTTGGCTTGTCTACATAAATTATATTCAAGCTAAATGTTAATATTCTGTGGCCAAATTCTTTATATAAGCCTGTTAAAAGTGTTAAGGAATATTTCCTACATCCCCATCAAGCAGAATCAGGTCCAATATTTTAATACTTGCCTGAAAGAGCATGATAAATTATTTCACTAATCATACCTATGTTTAGGTTCAGTAGACTTTCAATAAAGGACCACTTCTAATAGCAGCTTAAATAGATTGGGAACTGCCATCAATCCCACACACCACAATTGGAGTAGCAATCCCCTATATCATCCAGTGCAGAGACTCTACTGGCACAATATGCTTGACACAGCTGATAATTTGGGAACAAAACAGATCAATAAAGTCAATGAATTAACAAATGCAGGCAGATGTGCAGTGTTGTCAAGACTAGGAGACCTCAGGGACACTGCTGAGGTGTGCAAGGCAGACCGATGAGTAATTACACTGGATATCCAAGGGGTACCTGCAGGGCTGGAGAAAAGCTGGCCCGAAGTGAAAGAGACCACATGCCCAGTTCAGCTGCGCTACACTCCACCAGGCTGCCTAAGCGGCCACAATAACAGCTTTTTATAAAGACGGTGACCTAGACAGACAGCTGAGTGTACCCTGGACATCAAGCAAACCAGGGTATTTTCTGCTGATTGGCGAATGCTCTCCGCACAGCACACGGCAATCTCCAGTGCGTACCAACCAGGAAAGGGAACAAACAACTCTCTGCGGGCTCCACTCAATGAGAGCAACTACTGCATCTGACAATGAGACAGGTGGCTTTCCCATACCTACTGGGATAAATGGAAGGCAGGCAAACACACTGCACAGCACAGGAGGATAATGAAGGGGGAATCAGAATTCTCCAGGTTCCTAAACATGCTTCCCATTATGGAGGACAAGTATAGAATCTTGTAAGAAGGGGAAAAAGAAAAGATAAAACTGGAACGATATATCTTTAAAAATGCCAGCAATGAATCTTATATCCAAGTAAAATAAACCTCAAATATAAAGGGCATTTCCAGATAAGGAGAAATTAAAGGGATTTGCAAAAACATGAGCCATACAAAGATACTAGGAAGAGTTCTTTGGACGGAGAATTAATAACAGCAGTGGGTGTCATTAACATATAAAACACCACCACCTAGAAGTCAACTCATCCAAAAGAATACTCAATGTAAAATGAATGTTGAAGACTAAAATTAGGAAGTAAGAGTTGTCATTCTATAGTAAAAAAAAATTACAAATTACACAGAGGGAATATTGTAGCTACAAAACATTCAATGGAAAGAAGCGATCAAGTAATTGTTGAGAGAACAGTCTGAACTCAGCATAGAAAATTATGAGGAACAAAGAGAAACGGCATCACCACATAGACAAAACCACACCAATAAATTCATACATACCTATCAGTAATAGCACTGGATGTAAGTGAAATAAACCTATTAGGATAGAAAATAGGACCTATCAACATGTTGCTTTCAAGAATATGGCCAGCCCCACTATGAGATACGACATCCCCCACTGATCCACAGCCCTACGGGGGACAACACCGGAGACACAGTGTGGGAATTGTGCCTGATCTGATCCCGCCACACCGAGGCAAAACACTAAAGGGGTGCAACAGAGCAGCAAGGGAATGGAATGCCAAAGGTGGACTTTGGGGCCAAGGCTTGGTGCCCCAACAGACTGGACTGGAAAACACTCCTAAAGGCCAACAAACAGTCCTTGAACTAACTACAAGCTTTTCTTTCTTGTTGTTGTGTTTTGTTTTGTTCTGTCATTGGCTTGTTTTTATTGCTTTGTTGTATATTGTTGCTTGGTTTTGCTCTGTCTTATTTTTGTACATGGTCTGTCTAAATAAGATAGGCTGCAATGAATGTACAAATGTGCTTTACACAATTGATGTATGTATGGATTGTATGAGCTCTTAAAGTGGTGTTAACAAACCCAGGGAGAAGGGAACAAGGGATCCAAATTGGTGGTGAGGAGGGTATAAGAGGCTGGGTAGGGCGTAAGCAAGGGTAATGTAACCAAGAGGAATTACTGTAACCCAAATGAAGGCTGAGCGTGATAGTGAGACAAGAGGAAAGTAAAAGGAAATAGAGGAAAGAGCTAGGAGGCAAAGGGCATTTACAGAGGTCTAAATAAAGGCATGTACATATGTAAATATATTTATATATGAGGATGGGGAAACAGATTTATGTGCATATATTTATAGGTTTAGTATTAAGGTAGCAGATGGACATTGGGCCTCCACTCAGTAATCCCTCAATGCAAGAATACTTTGTTCTATCAAACTGGCATTCCATGATGCTCACCTTCCCTATATAATCGCTGAAGACAAAGCGGGTGCATAAGCTTATGTGGTAAAGAAAGCTCATGGTGCCCGGCTATCAAAAGATACAGCGTCTGGGGTCTTAAAGGTTTGAAGGTAAACAAGTGGCCACCTAGTTCGGAAGCAACAAAGCCCACATGGAAGAAGCACACCAGCTTGTGAGATCACAAGGTGTCGAAGGGATGAGGTATCAAGCATCAAAGAACAAAACATCTTATCGTGAATGAGGGGGAGTGTGGAGTGGTGACCCAAAGCCCATCTGTAGGCACTAGGACATCTTCTCACGGAGAGGTCACAAGAAGATGAGCCAGCCAGGGTGCAGTGCAGCAACGATGAAACATACAACTTTCCTCTAGTTCCTAAATGCTCCCACACACCCCGCCCACTATCATGATCCCAATTTTACCTTACACATCTGGCTAGACCAGAGGATGTATACTAGTACAGATAGGAACTGGAAACACAGGGAATCCAGGACAGATGAACCCTTAAGGACCAGTGGTGAGAGTGGCGATACCGGGAGAGTAGTGGAAGGGTGGGTAGAAAGGGGGAACTGATTACAGGGATCTACATATAACCTCTTTCCTGGGGGATGGACAACAGAAAAGTGGGTGAAGGGAGACATCAGACAGTGTAAGACATGAAAACAGAGCAGCAAGGGAATGGAATGCCAAAGGTGGA